GCTTCATCAGCTTGTTGAAACATTACCATTAGTATCCCATGAATTTATGGTGCTTTGTTTTGGGCTAGGGCTTTCAGTGCAGCTTGAACTTCTTCCTTCAGTACCATTGGCTTTTGCTTATATGCTACCTTCTGAACTGGTTGCACGTGGAATAGTTCTTTTGGGTACAGTGACTATGTATTCTTTCCATCATCTCTCGATGTTTCCTGCATCATTTAATATTTTGCCTGCTTCATTCAATATTATGAAAGGCAGAGTGGGAACTTTTAGGAGCCTGCTACAGGAAATTGGATGATTGTCAGGACGGTGAGCAGCAACACACATTTGAGTTCCTTCGATGAGTGGGACACTGTTCTTTCTGTCAATTAAGAGATTTGGTTGCTATGCAATGCACACACTGCCCTGTTTTCTAAGATGGAGATTAAGTTTCTAGCAGGTTGCCAACCCATCATCTTTCCTGTAGGGGTGATTATTTTGCTCACCCACCTTTTACAAATGTTGGTCTGTTTTTGGTTTGCTTCATCAGCCATGACTTAATTGGAAAGAACTGGTTTAAAGCCCAGAAAAGGAAAAAATAAATCATTTTTTAAACCCAGAAAATGAGGAGTTAAAGAACATGTCCAAGATGGTGGTGGAGATCTACCTGCCTGTAGTGCATTAAGAAAAGTGTCTCTAAAGCCTCAGTGTGTGTAAAAAAATCACTGGGGATCTTGTTAAAATGCTGATTCTGATTCAATAAGTCAAACAGTGCCTACACTTTTGCTTTTTAAACAAGCTCACTCAAGATATACATTCTGCTGGTATAGAGACTACCATAGGATGGGTATAGAGAGAAACCATCTAGAGTTAACAAGGTGACAGCCCACAGAGCAAAGGAGACCGGCTGGTTTACTTCTGAGAGGTAACAGACAAATTAGCGTTCAGCAATAATCCTATAGCAGAGAAAGGAGAAGAGCGGGAGATAACGATTTACCTTCAAAAAAGAGGGTGGGGCAGGTAGTTCTGATGGGGGCAGCTCCATATACCCAGTCTCATCACCTGAAACACCTGAGGCATAAGGTGGGACGACCATATAAGGACTACAAGGCAGTGTAGAAAAGCTAACTGCCTCATCTCCTTCCCCAGGTGGCTTCCAACTCAAC